CCTCTTCCTCGGTTTTTCTTATTTTCCTCGTCCTGCGTTCGAGACGAAGCAGCTCGGCAGGTTGGACGAAGAGCGTACGGAGTCTCCAGACGCAGGGACAGCGAGGGCTCGATTGGCTATGGCGAGGACGACGGCGACGCAGCAGACGAGGTCATCCCCAGGCAGAGCAGAAGATGGCGACGGCGATGGCAACTGGGATAAATAGCGAAGGCGAAGACGAAGAAGCAAAACAGATCTTGTGATGCTGAAAGCCACAGGCGAAGGGGACGAAGCCGGTGTTTTGTCTCTGCTGCTGCTGCGGCGGTGCAGTCCTCGCTGGGCAGGCTCTCTTCTATACAATCAGCCTCTTCTTACGGAGTACTCTTCTTCTTCCTCTTCTTTATTATTATTGTTTCTTCCTGTCCTGCTCGAATATCTTCGACTTTTCTTCTCCTCTCCAGCGTGTTCCTCTATTTCTGTGGCTGGGAAATGTATCAGAAATACCGGGATGTTACGTGGTTTACTCTTCGGGATGTGGTAACAATGGTAATTACAGGTAAGGTTCGACGACGAAGCTATATAAAAACGAATATATAGACCGACGAAGAGAAGAGAAGAGAACGAATAAACGACAGCGACGAAGAAGAGAAGAGATAGTCATGGAGGATGAAAAGTCGATCTACGAGATGCAAGCAACCAAGAGATGACAGCTCCCACGCTTCCACACTTTCACTTCCACGCTCTTTCGGGCTTGCTCTAGTTTTAACCATGCGCCGTAGATCAGCATCACTCGCTGCAAGTAAGTCAGTAGTAGTTAGTATCGAGTGAGTCGGTGTCAGTTTAAGTCAAGCCGAAGCTCTTGTCTCGCCAATGCCCTTGTAGAGATATGGCAGGCAGTTTTACCTTCTTCTTCATTGGAGGGAGCTCCGTGGCCGTCTCCTTGCTCGGGCTCAGATATCTTCGACAGCTCATACTCTGTAGTGCAGGTATCATGACTTGACGGGCCCAGGTGTCGATATAACCCCATACTCTGTGCTCTGTTCAAAAGTTGGAAAGTTTCGAGATCCCCTGATGCTTGTCTGGAGCAAATCTGATGGGAAACGGCCGATTTAAGCATATTATCGATCATGCAGCTGGACGGCCAAGATGCATCTCTCTCTTTGCTCTCTTGCAGCGCTCGTCATGGCAGACCAATCGTAGGCCTGGTCGATGCAAAAGGTCTGCAGGGTGGCGCTGGCCGGGATGAGGCACAACAAGCAGCATCGGCAGCATATGAAGAACGCCGAGGGTCAGCGTGAGTTGGTCAGATGATTCTGATGGCGTATGCCCTGGCCGCGTTCGCATACCTCATGCATAACGATATAGACATACAGGCATAACATGCAGAGACGTTGTGTCGGGTCGGTTAGTTGCACGTTGAGTTGATGTTGGCAGACGTTGGATGTTTGATAGATATGCAACTATAGCAGCAGGTCGTATAGTTATTGCTTTAAAAAGTAGATATATCGTATCTCGATCCTGGCCGGGAGAGCGCCTTATTTCAATAACCTTCTTCTTGGTCCCTTGAATCCCACCGAGGACGAGATCTCCCTCTCATAAGCCACCGATTAAATTCTCCGTACCTGCGTCCTGGTCCGGTCCCTCTGCCCTGGGTGTCAGATTCATTTTATTTCTTCTCTCAATCTCCCCTTTCCTGTTTGCTCTTCCTTCCAACATGAGGGTTATACGGATGTTTCCAGCAAGGCCCATAAGGCTGAAACAGCCCCCTATCCGACAGCAACGACCTGTTTTTACATATATGCTCAAAACAGTCGACTGGCCCGAGATGGTCGTCTCTCACCGCATGCTCTCACAGAGCACGCACAATGTGAAAAAGAAACGAGCAATACTGGTCGATATGATCGCCCTGGATATGTGTTCCGTAGGGAGATCCGCGTAGGAGTGCAACTGGAGCAAGGCTGGCGGGCTCTTTGTCTGTCTCGGCCTGTCCTTCCGTCTCGTTCACAGTTTCTTGCTGTACTCCGTAACTATAGATTGTATATAACTAGTAGCTTCGGGGTGCTCCGGGCTACGGGCGGACGAACGACTGAGGATAGTCCTTTTTGACAGCCCGAGTCAGCCAGGCCAGGGTAGCTCGAAAGGGCATCATCATCATTGGCATTTCAGCTGAGCGGACACTGATGTGCAGCGATATGCACACCCGATGCACCGCAGGACAGCGATTATTTGAGTTAGTTGTTCCTCCGGCTGCCACCAAACTGTATCTCCAGGCGTTCTCGAGCGTCGGTGCCGGCTTTGATGGTCATACATACTCCGTCGCTACTCCGTCGAGCTGATAGTTTTGTAGATTTCAGTACTCAACACTGGCCCCCGTCCAATAGCCAGGTGCTCCGTACATCGGCCACGGCTGCATCGCCTCCATATCTCCATCGTACATCCATCAGCCTGTCGTCCTCGTAATAATGCAGCGAAGATCAAAGAGCTGAAAAAGCAATACCTGATTCCATCACCCCCCCGAGAGGCCCACCGTCTGGGAGAAGAGCAATTGGGCATCTCATGCTCAGTTGGAGGAAGTCTGCGCCTTTTTTTGGGGGGGCCTGCCTCTTCCTTTTTTGCTCTCTGGGCCAGGAGTTGTTTAAGGTAGCCTTCCTTACCCCCGGCTTTGTAGTTCTTTCTTCCGCTCGCTCCTTGCTGTGCTGCTGGATAGCCACCCCCTGGACAAACCTGAAACTTGAAACCCAAGTACGAAGAGCTAGCAGCGGTCACAGACACTGTTGTTGCGGTCTCTTCCAACTAGTCCGTCAGCCTCTCAAGGGAAAATAATTAATAGCAAGCAAGGGCACACGGGACCTCCTCCTTGCGCCGTTAGCCTCGAGTTTAGTCGTTCTGATGCAGCTAACTAGCGGCTGGGAGGTGCTTTTTTGGTCGTGCCACCAGCGGCGGCGTAGTTGGGCGTAGGTAGCAGGAAAGTCTTGTTGACGGACGGCTTGGAGGCGAAGTCGATATCGCTTCTTCTCGTCTTTCTCATCTTCTTCGTCTTCTTCTTCTTTTTCTTCCAGTCTTCGTCCTGTCGTCTTCATCTTTGCCGCTTGTCTCCCCGTTGCATGTCGTCCCTCCACCACGGCCAGGCTATACAACAGCCCATCCATCCTGAACAAACACGATAGATCATAACAAGCAAGCAAGCAAGCCGCAAGCTATATATCTAGACGGCCTGACGGTAGACTGGCCGGCACCGGCTCCGCTTGATATATATAACGAATATAATATATCCTCTAGTTATATTTTATATCGGCATCAACGGGCAGCACCCCTTGGGCATCTTATATTTGCCTCTTCTTCCTCACCTCCTTGTCCCAGGCAGCGTCCAACGGGTAAGCATGGCATCGTCCCTAGGCACAGAAAGCTGACTGTCAGTCCGTGAGTCCTCTGTCGTCGCTGACCAGCTGCTACTGACCTCCAGTCCATCCATGACCACCACCGCGCCGCCGGCCTGCCCGTCGACCTCCACGCCGTCGTTTGGAAGCAGACTGCGCCGTCTGAGCCAGCGACGGCCGCAGACACACGCCCCCAGCACCGTCCCGGGCCCTTCAGCGTCCAGCAACCACCGTTCGTATCGCAAGCGGCTTAGCTGGGTCGTCGGCCGGGGCTCTTCGCATCTTCCTGCAGCCCCAGAAGGAGAGGAGGACGGCGCACCACACCATCACCACGACGACCAACACCAACACCTCAACCTCACCGACGTCGACCACGACCACGACCACGACCGTAATAACAGCCACAGCAACGGCCAGTCGCAAGAAAACTCCGACCTGCTGCACGCGGAGCTCGACCGCAGTGCCTCGGCAGAGCTCGAGTCCTCGTCGCAGCGGTACAGCGTCTTCAGTCGCTCCGACGCTGAGAGCAGCGAGTCCTCGACGTCGGAGGACGGGCCAGAGCAGCTCGCGGACGCTGGCTTACGGTCTCGCAGACAGCAGACCTCTGCCTCGCAGGATACCACAAGCTACACCATGGCCCAGGCCCTGAACATGGCCTCCGTCGCTGTCGGCGCGGCCGCTTCTTCGCCCGTCTCTCCCACAGCTGCCGTCGCCGCTGCAGAGACTGGCAGAGCTCCAGGCCAGCCGACTGCTTCTACGGCCCATCCTACGTCCCAGAACGGTCTCTCTTCGCCGGCAGCAGGAGAGTCAACAGAGATGTCTACGCCTGAAGCAAACTCGCCCGGCCAGCAGCAGCACCAGGAGCAGCAGTCCATCATCCGCTTCTTCGCCTATCAAGACCCCCACCAGAACTCCCGGCCCTCCCTCCCCTTCGCTCCCATGACACGGACCATCACAGACGAATCCACGATTATTAAAGTAGGTCGGTACTCCGAGCGTGAAGGCATACCCCCTGAAGGTGCCGCGGGGTCATCCTCGGCCCCTGTTGGTTTCAAGTCCAAGGTTGTCAGCCGAAAACACTGCGAGTTCTCCTTCATCGGCGGCCAGTGGCACATCAAGGATGTTGGGAGCTCCTCAGGCACATTTCTCAACCACATGCGTCTCAGCCAGCCTAATGTGCCATCGAGACAGTACGCCGTGCGGGATGGCGATATTGTACAGCTAGGGATTGATTTTAGAGGCGGCGAAGAGCTCATTTTTAGATGCGTGCGCATTCGTATAGAGTGCAACCGGATGTGGCAGCAGAGAGCGAACCAGTTTAAGTATGTTGTTCATTCCTCATCTTCATCTGTTTTCTTGGTGGAGGAGTGAAACTTGCTAACAAGACGTATAGTAAAAACACCGAAGCTCTTATAACCAATCTTGGAAAGGGCTCTATGGATGCTACAGACTATGAAGGTTGCAGGGAATGCTCCATATGTCTCGGATCTGTCTTGGTGAGTTTACCTGTTTATATTTGGCCTTTTTTTATACCTACATTCCATCTAACCAGTTTACAGCGTCCATACCAATGCCTGTTCATGGCTGCCTGTGCTCATGTCTGGCACTACAAATGCATCCGCCGGCTGATACATTCCCCTGAATACCCCATGTTCCAATGTCCAAACTGTCGGGCGTACACCGATTTAAACGCTGAAGTAGACGACTCAAACGACCCATACGAAGATAAAATCCATCCTTCCCCTAATACACAGCAGCAACAGCAACAACCTCAACAACCTCAACAACCTCAACCACCGCAACCGCAACCGCAACCGCAACATCTCCCGCCTCAGGCCCCCGAAAACAACACATCCGATACCAACACTTCTAGAACACATACCGCCAACAACTCAAATTCAGCTCCACCTATTATCTATACCCACACAGAAACAGACGGAACCCTTGCTACTGCTACTGGAAACATGACCCTAGAGTCTGACCCTGAACCGGAACCGGAACCTGAACACGAGTAATCAGACGGTCCGGACGGTCCGGACGGAGAAGTCTTTCATCCGGCTGTAGAGGCGCCATCAGTCTCTCATGCAAACGACGTCCACCGCAGCCAGAACATCGACATATTATCTCCGAATTCAACTAGCAGAGCAGGCATGGGTAGAAGAAGGGTACCAGACAGAGCAAACCGAGACACCATATATGTCGAAGATCCCCTAACACCACGAAACGATACAGGACTCCTCGCCCTCGACGGCCGTGCCGGGCGGCTCTAACCCCGCGCTTTCCTTCAGCCTTTCTCTTTTTTGCATTATCCATCTCTTTGTTTGGTCGGCATCTGTCCATCTATACCTGTTGCACGATTTTGTCTTCTACTATCTTATCAACTTCCTACTTATTCCCCCCCATCGGCGTTTTGAGCGACTTCTTACACCATGATATCTTCGCTATCAACTCCCATTCTTTGCTCACTTCTCCTTTGTCCTTTGTCTGCTTCTCGTGTCCATACTATCCTTCTTTTGATTCCCCGCCGCAGCTCAAAAGATTCCCTGCGATTACATCATGTCATATCTTTATTATTGCTTTTTTCTTCTGTCTCTCTTCACTATTCTTGGATAAAATACATAACTCTGGAGTAAGCCAAATCACCAATGAACTGCTCTCAAGGGGGTGATGTTTTTATACATGCCCTGCAGCAAGGAACGGGCCCCCTCGTACTCTCTTAACTCTCGAACGTCGCCAGCGTCAACGTAATTGCTTCCCCATAGCTGCTAACCTACTTACTACTAGCCGGCTGGTGATTTGGCTACTGCTCGACTATCTAGACATGGCCCATCAAGGCCCACCTGAAACAGCCCCTAAGGCAGCCCTTGGACCCGTCCCCCACATGGAACCGCGCAGTCAAAGGATGAAGCCGAGACAGGGGAGAGTCCCTTTATATATATTTATTTATTTCGACCAGCCCCAGCAGTAACTAGTTATCCTCTTCCGCTGGTCGAGTCCGAGTCCTGTCATACTATCTCGTTTCTTTTTGGCTTGCATCCCTCGGCCAGGCTTGGAGTCAGGGGCTGAGCGCAGAGAAGGCCATCCTAGCAGCGAAGTAGTGACTTCGCTCCTCCGCCCGTCTTGCCCGTCCGTCGGAGTATCGCCTATCTCTGCAGAGAAAGCCATCCATCAATCATGCCGATAGAGACCGTAGCCAGCTCCGCCCAGGAGTCCGGCGCCAGGCACCATGACCGACGGCCTACCTATCCCTTCAGGCTGTCCCATCGCACCAAACCGCGGAGGTACCGACCATAGTTACCATCAACCCCCTTTTTGCTTTCCCCTAGACAACCCAGTTTCAATGCATAGATATCTGAATGAATGGAATGCAGATGGCCGCTGGTTCTCCGGTTCATCAAGGGCGCCATCCACGGAGCCATCCTGCTGCCTGTGCTCGGCCATGCCATTTTCACCGTCATAGTTGTCATACTCGACAAGCATGTATTCGATACCGTGGGCGTTCCACCGACGATCGTACGTCGAGATCGATGCCTCGCTTTTGCTTCTGCTTGCTTCTTCCCTGCAGCCAGCCTGGATGCTAATCACTCGACCTAGATCCCTTCGCTGTCCATCGTCGTCGGTCTCATCCTCGTCTTCCGCAACCAGACCTCCTACAATCGCTTCTGGGACGGCCGCAACTGTCTGACGACCATCACCACCGCGCTTCGTAACCTCACCCGAACGATCCTGGTTTCTTCTCGCAACCCCAATGGCCCGCTCTCAGACGCTGAGAAGCAGGATATCGAGCGGACTATCCGTCTGCTTATCGCCTTTCCGTATGCCGTCAAGTGCTATCTGCGCGCGGAATGGAGCACCGAATGGGGCGCCGTCTCCAATCCTAACATGATTGCAGACGTCGTTCGTCGACAGGAAGCCGGCGGCCCCAAGCAGGAGTTCCTTAGCCTGCTGCCTGCTGGATTCCAGGCTCACGAGGCCGACGGCCTGGGCCTGCCGCTGCAATTAACCTTCCCTATCGATGCGTTCATCCAACGAGGCGCCGACAGAGGCTGGTATGATCCCCCTATGGCCAACCAGATGGGCAACCAGGTCAGCGCCATGATCGATGCATACGGGAAGATGGAAACGATCAAATTGACTCCCATCCCCGTTGCTCACTTGTAAGTTTTCTTTTAGCCATTCTCTATCTCCACCTGCGCGGAAGTAATACCCCAAAACTCCTAACTCGGATTTATTAGGATTCACCAAAAGCAAGTCCTGGCCTTGTTCGGCTGTGTGCTTCCATTTGCAATGGTAGATGATATGGGCTGGTGGGCTGTACCCATTGTCTGTCTCGTCATCTTTACTCTTTACGGTATCGAAGGCATTGGTTCTCAGCTTGAAGATCCCTTTGGCTACGACAAGAACGACATCAAGATGGATGCCATTGTCGAAGATGAAAGGGTCGAAATCGAAGCTATTCTCAACGAATGGAAGAAGTTGAATGACTTGCCTGTCGACGGCGACGATTCAGCTACCAACGGTGCCAGAAATGGTGTCCGTAACGGTACTAGCAACGGCACTCGCAATGGAACTCATAACGGTACCCACAACGGGGTCACCAATGGAAATGTTGCTCCTCGAGAAATGTTTATCAGATCTTAGCTTTTTAGCGTTGTTGCGCCTCTTGGTTTGCTTTCTGCTCCTTAAGCATGCCTCTCTCGTTTTAATATACCCGTGGCTTTAGACTATCTTTCATCTTGAGGAACTTCCCCTGCTTTCTCCCTCTCTCTTACATCTGTCAGTGCCTCAGACTCAGTTGGTGGTTAGTTTGTCGTTGCTCTTCGCCCTCTGCTTTTATATCTTTCATTCGTTTTTCTGTACACAACTTTGTTTTACAAGGCAACCTCGATATCCTTCTAAGGATCTGAACAGCTACTATAACAATTAGGTTCTCAGAGTCTTGCTTATGCCTTCCAGTCCAACCCGCATACGCGAGATATCCAGGTATATTCATGAAAAAAAACAGTAAAAAACAGAATGATGAATAATATCTATATAGAGAGACAAACAAGATGAAACAGCGTCATGGTATCGTACAAGCTGACTACCAGGCAGCCCCTTGAAAAAAATAAAAGAAAGAAAGAAATGTGGAACAATACGTTCCCAGGTCCAATCTAACTTAAAACCAAAGAAAAAGAGGGGGCCGATCTGTTAGAGCAACAGACCGTACAACTTGTGGAAATTTTGGAGACGACATGTCAGTGTAGCAATGACGAAATACGCATATAGACTACTTATTAGGCGAGCGTGCTGCCTTGCTTCTAATTGCGCGCGGCATGATGTCTTCACCCACTTGTATTGCATGGCCAAATAAATCAACATCCGGGCGTGTCTGATATGATTGCCAGGACTCCAAAGTATCACCACTATCAGTTGATGGTGAGTATGAGGGTGATCTCTGTCGTTGCGCCTCCATCATTGCGTGTCTTGACCGAGTAATTCGACCGGAGTAGGCAATACAAGGCTTATTTTCAGTTTCACTTTTGGAGTTGTCTGCCTTATTTCGTTGGAATTTTGGCTTAGAAGGACCGTCGTCGATTAACTCGCCTACTACCTGAGAGCACAAGGTTTTCATCGACTGGTGTTCTGTGGCCTTCTTGGACTCGTTCTTTTCCTGTTCCTCTCTTTTGAGAAACGCTTCGTGCCGTGCTCTACACTTTTTTCTGCCTTCTGACAATAAGGGGAATTTGACCCCTTTTACTGGACCTGGGCGCGATTCAGTTTTCGGTTTTCCGTGGCCACATATCCGAAGGATATCACATCTCAGTCTCCAAATAGCATCAGGTATCCAGTTCTGGTAGTAGGCATACATCCGTCCGTCAACGGTTTTTAGATTCATTGAATTCCAAAATGCGTGTGCTCGTTGGATATTTTCAAGTGTTCTTAGTTCTACATTCCCGAGCTGGACAAGCCATATGTGCATAAGAAGCATCATTCGTGGAAGTTGGAATTTATATCGGACCACGTTGTCCGGGTGAAGCCCGCTAGGTAAGTTGCTGAAACAGTTGTCAAAACAGATATCGGGGAACTGTATGTATCAATGTATTGTGAGCATAAAATGTCGAAGCATTTCATTTATAAACTGCCAAAAGAACCAGCGGGGGAAACGACATAGATACTCACGTAAAAAGCTGGATTCCCCTCCTCGTCAAATCTCGCGGGGCCAAAAACAGACATTTCACAGCTACTAATTTCGCCTATCGAATTGAATATTAGAGGCTGATCTAGTGCAGCCTCATCCAGCTCCTCTATAGCATCCTTCAACCATTGTAGATGTGAAGCCCCGGCCGCTGCCATATTTTGGTAGGAACCTCCACTAGCTTTCCGTTTCCGTGGCAATGGGCCTGGGTGGAAGCGTAAGGCTGTGGCCCTGAAAATGACAGCTAGCGCACGCGATTTCAATAATCTCCTGTTTGCAAGTTCTAGGGGTTATTGACTCGGAGTGACAAAACGGGGGCAGTCTGCAGATAATATCGTTGGCTTATGAGGATCCCAAGCCAAATATGCCGTGCGGTACACCTTGGTAATGGAATAAAATACCAATCTGTGGCTGGAAACAAACGCGTGTGTGTGACATATATAGTGGCCGCGAAAAATTAGCCCGCTTAGACAGCAGTTAGTGTTGTATAGAACAACACCACGATGACACTTTCTAAACTGGGACGTTTTTTTATCGGAAGTTACAACCGCGGACTAGTTGCATCCTTGTCAGGAAGGTATAAATATAGAATGCAGTAACAAAGGGCATAAAATTCACAGGGGCGCTTCGACTTCAGCCAACACATCTTCAACTATGCTTTCTGGAGTTGCAGATAATAGAATCTTCTCGACAGCATTGATATCACTGCCATACATCATACTGCGGTCTTCCTGAGGCTTTACAACGGTGATACGGTGGCGGTAAATCTTCTTCGCTGCCAAAGCCACAAGGGAAGGCGGGACGTAGTCAACACCATGTAGCGACGCCAGGCATCTATCTAAATTGTGAGCATCCAGGAAAGACTAGGGTAGAATTTCAATTGTCGTACTTGACTATCTTGTGAAACTGGCGTGTAGCTGGGGCTGTTATTCCGCAGAATACGGCTCGATTGAAGCGAAGAAAGTTGATAATATTTTCAGTATAGCAGTATACCTCAGTAGATACTGTCACGCTCGGAATTAAGCCCCTTAAATAATCGATGTCCTATAACGAAAGGGAGTTAGCTTAGCATGGCTTCTCAACCTCTATGGTCGTTGTTAACGGACCTCTTCTGAAATTACCGCGGCTTTTTCAGTCAGCTTCCCCGTGTAGGATGAGTTCCAAGCAGTGGGAGATGGAGAGCCTCTTTCGTCAACTAGGGAACTACCGTCACCTTCCAGGTTTACAAGGCCAACGGATGGATCATGATAGTGAGAGATAGATATATGTTCATTCTTAGGTACTGTGTGAGCAGTATCCTATCGTTTCAAAAAAAAAAAAAAGGGAGTAACATACTAAGTGGTTGTTTAACCGGGAAGATAGCTGTCGTGTCCCAGAAGAAAGAATGGGTATAAAGATAAAATTGTTGGGAACATTATATGTAGCGGTTTTGGTACGAATTCTCCGGGTGCGTAGCATCTAGGATGTCATTTATAATTAACCTTGAACGATAATAACAACGTATCTAAAAAGAGGAAATATTATACCTCCAGTGTCTGTATTTGTACACTCTGGGAGATGTGGTCATAATTTTTGGCAATAATAACGTTGACTGTTTCATTTCTGTCATGACCCCTTGTAGAAACATCGGTGTAGTTGCTCTGGGAAGCTCCATTGGTCTATATTAAGGCTAAATTAGTCAACCAACTGGCCCCAAAAGTAACGGCATTAAAATTGAGATGAAAAAGGGTATGTCTTCAGGGTGGGGATAGAATTTATCATATCGTAATCTTGCCTTTAAAATATTTTCTTCCCTTTGAAGGAGTTCGGATGGTCGTCGTCGACGTTCTATTATGGTAGTATTGAACTCTTCAAGAGAAGTGTCGGCAGTGCAGTCAATAACAGCATAAGACAGACCAAATATTTCTCGACAAATCTATTACTCTCGGTAAGAATGTCTATCGCACGCCACACGATATAGATCACGTACTAATATTAATTCTTTGACAAGGTCATCCAACGTGTTGGATGGGGTATCAATCAAGCAACTCTCTTTGGCGATTAAGCAAAGTAAAATAGCAAATTCAAGATCCGTAAGGTCCTCTATCTTCTTAACTATATCGGCACAGGTATCCATTTTGCCCAGAAAGTGAATTCATTCTTCAGAGAACAACATCGGGATGAATACTTAAGTAAACAAATTAGCTTGCTGGTTTGGCCTTCCTTGACGGACGTCGGTTTACACAATCTGGCACGTGATAATATGAACATGATTTGTAATAAACAATAAACTCCCGGTGGGTCCCGTCCATTCTTACAAGGGAAGCCACGTGGCTGGAATAAACATATTCCCACCCGTGGAGCTTGGACCGGGCCACCTTGGCAGGAAAGTCTCGGTTCAATAATCTCATGGGCCTGTTTAGCCAGGTTTAAGGTATTAAGATTCTTTCTAGTATGTTTTAGAGGTAAGTAACTCGTCTATTGGGATATTCCGCATCATAGTCCTGGAGTATGGTGGAAGTTATATAGATCACGACAAGCAAGTGGATTTTCGGATGGCCTGGGCAACACTCCTCTTCCGCGAGATTGACTTCATCCATATTGGTATAGTTCACCTACAATGTTGAGGTTTAACTTGGTGATAGAGTGCTTTGCTCATAGCCAGGCTCTGGGTGCTTAGCCATGTAAGGAATGAAGAACCCGGATATTTCTAGCGTATCATTGACTTCAAGGTATTTTATTTTATTTTATTTTATTTTATTTTTGGAAAGATGTGGATGTCGTCGATCTCCAACAGAGACGCATCATTGACCATAGCTCCAAGCCGAGCACCGATATCAGAAGTAGCATTTCTGGCGAACTTGAAAAGCCAGTATCGTGAGAAAGTATGCTACGTGAACTGCTCGCTCAAGTGACCCAAAATTTTATGAAGTATTCCCACTATAGCGTTAAGCATGTTGAATATACCTGTTTGTATGTGTCGGTACGTTATATAGTAAGCGATATCGATTAAATTATATTTCCGGCCTTGTAGGCGAGCGTTGACGAGGGAGTTGAAGTGAAACTTGTGAGAAGTAGTGAGGAGTAGTGTATTTTATAACGTAAGCGATACCATAGGTAACTGCTATTAATTACCACTAGTAAAATAAATCACGTCCTCTCGTTTCGACGTCGAACGTACTCTGTAGGGAGACAAAACATCTGTCAAGCGCGGAGATCAGCTCGGACGCTTGAAACAGAAAGCTCCTGTTGTGCAACTGTTCATCTACTTGGAAGCGTGCTGTCTGGAATCGATAAAGCTATGAATGCAGTTGAAAGATGACGCCACCGAATCCCCTTGCTGACTGGGAAAGAGTTGGAGACCAGTTCTATAGAAAGTCCCGGATCTATGACGCCGTGTTTGATGAAGATGTTGAGCTAGAGAATTATATAGCCGTGGGTGCTCCTTACGGTGGCGCTATAGGTATCCTCACTGTTAATATTCTTAATGAAAACTTATTCTCACCTAATATATAGCTCTCCATCGGGACGAACGAAGGCTGCAACGATACAGAGATGCTCAAACATCGAAGTCTAGCATTGACATCTATTCATGCTCGGGACAACGTATATGTCGAATAAATGTAAGCTGTTATACCATTTCATTAGTTCACGCATTTCTCAAAGTGAACTGACACTTGCGCAGTGGGATCATGGGTCCATCCGTGGCCTGGGATGGTCCGAGGACGAGAGACTGTTGGCCGTCACTGAAGATGGTATGGTCCGTTGCTACTATGGCCTCAGCGGAGACTTTACTCCGTTCTCATTAGGATCCGTGAGTAAATGATGCATCTTTTCTTTTGCTTGCGTCATATTAACTGGTTTCCAGGTAGCGGAGGAGTATGGCGTAGTTGGGTGCCGATTTTGGTCTACTGGGTTTGTTGCTTTGCTATCAAATAACCAACTTGTTGCGGTATCGCACTATGATGAGCCGCGCCCGAAGTTGCTAGCTCAATCTCCAGAAGGAGAGATTAACTCATGGTCATTGATTCCGCCTACGTATACCCTCTCCAGGTCAGTTGAGGTCTTGCTTGCAATAGACAAGTCTATATATGTTGTGGATGCAGCAGACTGTGAGGACCGCATGCTACAAAATGGGCCTTTCAAGCACGTTAGTGTGTCGCCAAATGGACTATTTGTGGCCTTGTTTACTGGGGATGGAAAACTATGGGTCGTCAGCAGCGATTTCCAGAACAAGTTCAGTGAATACGATTCTCATGCTAGAACGCCTCCTGGTTCCGTGACTTGGTGTGGGAACGATGCTGTTGTTCTTGCCTGGGAAGATGAAGTTCACGTGGTTGGGCCAAATGGTGCTTCGGTGAAGTATTACTCCCTATTCGTACCTATTTTACGACCAACTCTAACAAGACGATATATTAAAGGCACTTTTATGATGGTCAAGTCCACATAATCCCAGATATTGACGGAATCAGGATTTTAACAAATGATGTGTGCGAGTTTTTGCATAAAGTACCGGGTGGGTTTTCAAAGTTACTCTAGTTTATCTAAGTATACTAACATGAATCAGATGCCACGGAGGAAGTCTTCCGGCTTGGGTCAAGTGCGCCAGCTTCGGTTTTACTTGATTCTGTTGAGCAGCTTGAGAAGAAATCGTCCGCCGCGGACGAAAATATCCAGAGAATCCGTGCTAACCTTGTCGAGGCTGTGGATACGTGCGTACGCGCTGCCGGGTACGAGTTTAACACTTATTGGCAAAAGCAGTTACTCAAGGCAGCTTCCTTTGGGAAATCCATCCTAGAACTTTACAACAGCGACGAATTCGTCGATATGTGTGAGAAACTCCGGGTCTTAAATGCTGTCCGTGATTATAAGATCGGTCTACCAATTTCGTACGAGCAGTACATGCGGCTTACTCCCGAAAAGCTCATCGAACGCCTGATAAACCGCCGTGAATATCTTCTGGCTATTCGTGTCTCAGAGTATCTACACCTTCCTGCCGACAAGATCTTCGTGCACTGGGCGATTCAGAAAGTCAGATCATCGACTGAAGACGATGACTCAATTTGCCAGATAGTTGTACAGAGACTTCAAGGAAAACAAGGAATATCCTTTGAATCCATTGCTCGATCAGCTCATGAGGAAGGCAGGTCCCATTTGGCAACGCAGCTGCTAAACCATG